TTTTACGTTTATCAGAATATCTTGCCCAAAATATGATGAATATGTATGAGCCAAATCTTATCAAAATATTCTGTTTTCAAAGATATATATAAGTGTCTGAAGCACCAAAGTTTTATAATTTTGTTTATCAAAACTAATGCAGTACTAAATCTTCGGCGCGCCCTAAAACGCATCATTATTTTATTTGAGTGGTTTTTGAAAACTGAAGTGAATACCAGAAGGCACATTAGTTCTAAATGCTAAATGGGTCAATAGCCTTTGCACAATTACACCTGGGGACATATGTGTGGTTACATACCTGGCATAATTAAATTGAGTTTTCGAGTTTGCGCAAAGTTCAAATGGTGGCCTTTAGTATTCTGCTGCTCGTATATCTCGCGTCATTCAAATGTCATCGAAAATAAACTATTCACTTATTTTGCATGCCACGCTCCATAAATGCGATACATTATGCATGCGCACAAGGCAGCAGACCAACAAAAACTGATCAGCATATGGCCAGGAATTTGCCCCCGCCTCAGCCCCAGCGCCATATTGCGCATACGCCTCGTAAGCGGCGCAGCTGAGTGTGACTGTGTGCATGCGATTGCGACTGTGTGCTGTGTACTCATGATTGTCAGGGATATGGCCTGATAATGAATGGCCAGCCATGAAACTGCCAAGCTGGTGCTGCCCTCGTGACAGCATTGCCCACCTTATTAGAGATGAGTCGATAAACAGCTATTAAAGTAAATTTCCATAAATGTAAAATATAATTTTACATATTTATGTTTTATCAAATTTTCTGTGCAGCTGAGAATTGTGCAGAGTATTCAAGCCTTATGCTGACAATTGAACCGATATTTGTTATATTACTTTTATTATTATTCTAATTTTTCATTCGTATTTATTATCCAGTGCTGGTTTTGGCGACCTTTCCATTTTTTAAATTATAGCTATTATTCTCGAACCAAACCCCTCTTTAAGAAGTTGCCGAATCTCTTGAAGTATTTTGGATAGGATAATAAAAGTGAGCGCGTACTTTAAAATCGTAATATAGTATTAAATTTCTAACCGAGCTAGATGCTGATAAAACCCTTTCATTAGGTTTATTGTGGTACAATTGGAAGCCTAACTAGCAGGTCGCTGTGCGTAAAAAGAGAGGACAAAGGTCCTCTCTGACGCGATACGTCATCGTATCACTTGCCATGTGCCAGTTGCCGCCCTCTCCATGTATCGGCGTCAACAGATCTGAGGGCAGACGAACTTAGTTATGCTAACAACTAAATTAAACACAGACAGCGGCGTCTGCTTGACTATGCGTTGCCTCCTTGTCAAGGACACACACACTTGTTGGACTTGGCTGCGGCTGCGGCTGCTGCTGTAATCCCTGCGATGTGAGTTCCTCTCACGTCCTGCCGACTGACTGAGAAAGCGAATAAAAGCTGGCTGCATGATGAACATCATAATGAAATTTTCGCACGCGCTTTCGCTTCGGTTACACTTCCGCTGCCGGTAACTGATGCTTTCTCTCTTTTTCGCCCATTTCTTTTTTTGCGACATATTTTTGTTTTCGCCAGCGAACGACGCGCTTGCTGGCGGTACGCAGCGTCGTCCTGGCTGCAGTTCGAGTTGTCCCTTTGAAGCAAACGGTCGTGCGTGTTCGTCAATTGTCGTTTGTCACAGGCAAAATGTGCACTGCGTTGCGTCGGGTGCGAAAGTATTTTATATCATCGCAGGTCTATGAGGCACTGCGTCCGCTTTTTTTTCTCACCTTCCTTTACGGTCTGACGCCATTTCATGTGGTCCGCCGCAAGATGGGCGAATCGTATCTGAAGATGTCATGCTTTGGCATCTTCAACATTTTTGTTTACATCGTGCTGTGCGGCTTCTGCTACATCTCATCGCTGCGCCAGGGCGAGTCAATTGTCGGTTACTTTTTTCGCACAGAGATTTCAACAATTGGCGATCGTTTGCAGATCTTCAATGGACTCATAGCAGGCGCTGTCATCTACGCATCGGCAATATTGAAACGCTGCAAGCTGCTGGGCACATTAACAATTCTCCATAGTCTCGATACGAACTTCTCGAACATTGGAATACGCGTCAAATACTCAAGGATCTTTCGATACTCGATTTTATTGCTCGTCTTTAAGCTGCTCATTCTGGGCGTTTATTTTGTGGGCGTGTTCCAGCTGCTCGTCTCGCTAGGCGTTACGCCTTCCTTCTGCGTCTGCATGACCTTCTTCTTGCAACATTCGGTGGTCTCCATTGCGATTTGTTTGTTCTGTATAATTGCCTTCAGTTTCGAGCGACGTTTGAGTATCGTAAATCAGGTAAGTTGCCTCAAGGTGATTGACCCGCGCTATGTCTATGAAGGGTCTGGGCAAATAGTGAAGACAGCGCGGACTATCTGTCTGTCAAATTGTTGGCAGCCAACCCCAAGGGTGCAAATTTTATTGCTCAACCACAAATCAAGTGTGAAATTAATTTATGTTAATCCAAATATTTGTTGACTACACTTTAGTTAACTGGTTGTTTTTGTTTCGCTTGTTTGTGCTTACCTAAGAAAATGTAATTATATACAAATTGGGGATGGGAATTGTTGCCTTGACACGTATTGGGGGAAAACAATGTTATAAGTTTATGTTAAACTCAAGAGTGAAAATCTTTTAAAATACTATGAGCCGAAATTGAAAGCAAACATAATTTTTACGTGTTTTATCTTTTACATTACTGTGCACTTATCTTATACTACTTTAAGGTATAGCTAAAATATATGCCCGCATCTTGTATATGAAAATATGTATGGCTTGCAATATTTTCAGTACAACGGGCAACAAAACGGATTGTAGATTTAGGAGATGCATTCTATGATTCACACTTTTCTTACAAAATTATGCTCTCTGAAAGGATATGCAAATTTAACTTAGTCTAAAAAAAAGTGTATGGAAAATATTATGGAAAACGTTTCAGTATCTGAGTTGTTATGATGACACCAAAAAGGTAAACAAACTCATTTACTGACCGTAAAGTATATGGGTGTTTCCACGTATCTGGAAAGCCCTCCCATTTAAGATCGCCATAAACATTCTGTTTACTTTTACAAGCATGATATGCTGCTTCTTCGTACTATACCAGGCATTATTTACTCCAAAGAGCAATAACTTTAGCCATTCACATAATTTTTACTGCAATCATAATTGACACGGAAGCCACAACTATTTTATACTTTTCGCTGCCTTTTATTGTACCTCCATAATATTATGAGATAAACTGAATGCCCTTTTTCCCTGTTCAGTCGTTGTCCTCTCAAAGCTCTCAAAGGCCGTCAAGCAAATCCTTCCCGTCGTTTGCAGCCTTTTATAGATGTCATTTTGCTAATTTCCCGCTGAGCAATCAACATAAATTCATGCGAACATATTGGAGCACATTCAGGGAAACCATAAACATCATTCGACTTTAGTAATAAGTATTTATGAGAATGGAGTACAATAACTAAGGCAAATGATGCTAAAAACCCAGTTCGAAATTTTCATGTGTGATGAGACCATTTGCTTATTTAACAAATAATTAAAAACTTAATGTTCTTGTTTATTTTAAGTTGAATTAGCGAAACCCATAATGATATTTTTTATACGTATTCAAAAATTACGTACTCAAACAGGAATTATGCATTAGTAAGATGAAGACTTTTATAAACACATCACTAAAAGAATAAAAGGTCGGTATGCGATTAAAGCTGGAAAGGAAAGAGAAATATAATGAAAGAGAAGGAGGTAGATAAAGCAGCAAGAAATAAGTAAGTAAGAGCATAAGAAAGTAAAAGGAGGAGGAAAGAAAGAGCGGAAATAATAATTATATTAAGTGCAAATTACTAAATTAGAGTCAGAATATAGTGATTAGAGATTAGGTCCTACTTGAATTCATGAGAATCGCAAAGTAGGGCCATATATAAAAATACATTTTTATTATCGGTGGGTCTGTGCTTGGTGTGAAATAACATACGTACATATACATATTTTATTAATATATATATATATATATATATATCTTTATTAAAATCATGAGAATCGCATAGAGGTGCGATATATAAAATACTTTTTTTTATTATCTGCGGGTCTGTGTTGGGTAAAGGAGAGAATGTATGCATATATACACACAAACATACATGTATACTCAATACATACATATTTACATTAGTACCGACATAAATACATACTGACTTTTTAAACGTTTAACCTCCCTCTTCTACTTTCAATACCCATTTGTATAAGTCGAAATGGGTGGACTCAGTGGCACATGTTTCAAATACCACTTTACATAAGATGTAGATGGTGTTTTAATATGAGATTGAAATCGATTGGGTGGAAATCAAATAGTTGCCAGCAACAACCAATCGCACAATTTTCGACCAGAGGAAAATGTAACTTTTGTGGTGGGGGGCGGTCATTGAATCAGCCTGGACAAGAGTTGTAGAAGTACTCAGAGCACAATGCATTTGCACCTCATCATTTTGTCTATTATATTATTATGTTCTTTGGAAATATTCCAATATCTTATTAGTCATTCATTGAGTCCAAGTCCCCAAGGAGCTTAGCGCAGACAGACACTGAGAACAAAAAATATGACCTATTGAAATATGGGTAAATCGCACAACTAATTAGAGTCCTGTGGTAAGTGAGTCCCCTAGGGAGGAGTCGGCAGTCACCTGTAAACGGGCATTAATTAAAATGCAGCAGTTTAAGCGAATAGCTAAATGGTCGACACACTCATACACATGCTCACATTCGTATTCGTATTCGTTTTGGTATTCGTACTCGTTGACAAGCGGCATAAAAATGCTGAAATTATTTACTTAAAGCCAACGGGAATGAAATGAATGAATTGTGGCCCCGCCTCATTAAACACGGAGACGGCGCCGGCGCCGACGCCGGCAACATGCAAATTTTTTGCGTTTCTTGTGTTCAGTTGCCGCACAAGGCTCCAGCTGTACAGACCACGAGGACAACAAGTAAAGCATGGACACGGAGAAGGATATCGGTGTAGAAATCGAACTAAATACCGTGCTGCAACATCCGTTGCGCCGTCGCGTACGCCGTTTGCTGTCCGCCAAGCAGCTGTACGAGTGTCTGCGTCCGCTATTTTGTGTCACATATTTGTACGGACTGACATCGTTTTACATTAGCTGCCAGGATGCTTCTGGGCAGAGGGACATCAAGAAGTCCTGGTTCGCATACTTTAATGGCATTGTGCATATCGTTCTATATTCCGTCTGCTACATTCTGACCATTAACAACAATTGCGAGTCCGTGGCCAGCTATTTCTTTCGCTCCCGGATCACATATTTTGGCGACTTGATGCAGATCGTGAGTGGCTTCATTGGCGTCACCGTCATCTATCTGACGGCCATCATACCCAAACACCGTTTGGAGCAGTGCCTGCAAAAGTTCCATACCATGGACGTTCAGCTGCACAGCGTTGGCATCAAGATTATGTATAGCAAGGTGCTACGGTATAGCTATGCGGTCATGATCTCCATGTTCGTTGTGAACTTCGGCTTCTCGTGGGGCACCTTTGGCGTGTTGTACTCCTCCGATGTGACTCCGACTCTGGCTTTGCATTTTACATTTATGATCCAGCATACAGTCATTGCAATGGCCATTGCCATGTTCTCTTGCTTCACATATCTGGTGGAAATGCGCCTCGTCATGGTTAACAAGGTAAGGTAACAGGGGTTAAAAGAATTAAGCATTGTGCTGCTCTATGAGGGCTTATGTAATAACCAAGGGTTTTCTAGAAGCTAGTTGAACAATATTGAAATAATTAAACAATAGCGAATACGGCAATTTCATTACTTTTAATACCAATGGAGGACAATGGAAAATTTTATTTACATATTTTGCCTTTTTAATTGAATTTTAAAATTGATATTGAATAGTTTTTTTTATATACATATATAAATATTAATTTTTAGTTTAATGTTTTATTTTTTTCTTTTAATAAATGTACTACTAACCTGCATTGGTTTGTGTATTTGATAAATCCTTGAACTAGCTTCGATCCTACTGACATATTCAGTTCTGTGCTCCTTAAATGAAGTGAAACTCCAGTAAACTCTGAAACAAACATTTAGCACAATAAGTTTTTCATAAACAATTCATTATATGTCATTATTTAGTTCTAGAAAATACCTTTTGGGTCTTGGGAATAGCTTTGTAGCTATTAACATCGCTTTATACATATAGATTAAAGCTGGCCGATTTTTCCATTGTTTATCCGTATTAATGTCTCGTTTCACGACAATTTTGATACCACTCAAGGGAGCAGTTAGAAAAAACATAATAGCATTGCATGTTTCAGTAAGTCCTTAAAGTTCTATACTCTAGTTATGTTTGACTGGCGCACAGACAAATATAGTCCTTAGTGCCCCACTCTAGTTAGTGTCGGAGCCAATTATTGGCGCAGAACCGAATTCAATTAAATTAATTAACTCAACCCACAATGTGCAAGCCATAAACGTTTATTTTAGCCACCGCTCGCACTTTATAATTTCATAACGAAAACAAACAACAAAATGAAAGTGCCATGAAATAATATGAAAGCTACGTGTCTGAGAGGACAGGTTTCCCATTACGCGGCACCTGACAGCACCTCAAAATGAGCGGGCGAAGTTCAAGGCTTTAAACTCTATCAATTAGTCATGAGGAAAGCCATCAGGTATACACAGTATAAAAGTATAAAAGGTGCCACACTTCCGTTGTTCAAATCAGTTTTTATTTTTTGCGTCATGTGGCCAATTTGGAGGCAGCTGTTCAGTCCACGCGATGCTTATGGCGCTGAGCAAACGCTGTTCCTCTTCACCTTTCTGCTGGGTCTGACGCCCTTCCGGCTGAAGGGCCAGGCGGCCGGACGTCATTTTCAGCTGAGTCGCATCGGCTATCTGAATGCTCTGCTGCAGTTGAGCTTCTTTGGCTATTGCTTTCTCGATGCTCTCGTCCAGCAGCAAAGCATTGTGGGCTATTTCTTCAATTCGCCAATCTCCCAGGTGGGAGACTCGCTGCAAAAATTCATTGGCATGACCGGCATGTTCACACTCTTCCTTTGCTGTGGGCTGCGTGTGCGTCTTCTGATGCGACTCTGTGATCTGATCGCCCACATTGATGATCACCTGCTCAATGTGGGCATCTGCTTTAATTATGGCAAGATTATGAGTCTGCGGCACACACAACTATTCCTCATCTGTTTCGTCCAGTTGGCCTATTTGGCCAGCTCCATTTGCATGCTGCTCTATAATGATGTGAGACCCAGTTACCCGGTCGCCGTTGCGTTCTATGTGCCTCAAGTATTTCTGCTCAGCATTGTTTTGCTCTTTGAAGCTATTCTGCATCGCTGCTGGCAACATTTTGACGCACTGAACCAGGTAAGCGCGCACGGCGGACTTAAGCCCCTTTCAGCAGCTGTCAATCTTAACAATCTTAGTTGTTGGTATCAAGACTGCAAAACGCACTCTTCGAACTCGCAATTCTTATTTATTTTTTTAAATTAACCGAACTTTTAAGCAACCATCTTATTAAAACTCATAACTTTGCTCTCAACTATTGCATTTATCTGAAATTATTTGAAATATTTCAATTTGATCAAGGTATCAAATTTAGCCCAAAGTTATGTAGGGCGTGCAATTTTTTGTGTAGAATGTTAAATTCCTAACTTAAACTACAAACTTGAACTTATATAAATTGAAAACATCGTTTGCCAATACAAAATACAATAATACATGTTTCGAATTTCCGACATATGTGCATTTTTGCAACTATATTTAATTTGAGGATAATTGTTTCTCAAAAATAAAAGCAGGCTGGCGTTATATTGTTGATGTTTTTTTTTATAAAAAGCAAGTTATCTTCACTAGATCCAATATGACAACCTTGTCAAGATGTTTGGTCCCGGCGCTCTAATTAATTAATTACCCACAATCTCAATCTAGAGACTATAAAATAAAACACATTGGGCTTAGAGCACAATTGAATATGTTTTTTCATACGCCATGAGGCTTCCGGACTGTTTGGACAGACTAGTGCACCCGGTCAATGTCTACGGCTGCTATCGTCTCACTTTTGGCCTAGCTCGGCTATTTGGTATTGTGCCGTATCATGTGGACAGTTCGGCGGGACAGCTGAGACTGTCTTGGTTCGGCTTGGCCAACGTCATTGTGCGCATGATTTTCTATCCGCTGAATTTCATCTACAGCTGCTTGGAACGGCACACTCTGATGGTCAGTCTGGCATTGACAAATGTGTCCAAGTTCACAGCAGATCTGGAGATGTTCAATGGCATGGCTGGGATTATGGCAGTGCTGATCGCCTCGCTGCTGCGACGCCAGGAGCTGGTGCAGTTGATGGTCCTGTTCGATGGCCTGGAGAGCGAGGCATTTCCGCGTGTCGGCATTAGCTTTGGACAGATCCAAGCGGCCAGGGAAATCGCCGGGTCGACTGCCTTTCAGCTCTGCACATTGCTCGGCTTTGTTGGCTATAGCTTTAGCTCAATATTCCCGATTGCAAATACCTATGCGTCCTACTCGGCGCGTGTTAGCTACTTCTCGCCAAATTTCATAGTTTGCACAGTTAGCATACTTGTGAGTGGGCTATTTATCAAGCTACGCATTTACCTAAGTGCACTGAATGAGGTTACATTGTCTTTATATCTCAGCTATGCCCTAGTTAACGAATACTTTTATATGCTTGCAGGTCCTTAAGAATCTCGCTCATCAGTGGGACACACGAAGCATTAAGGCCGTCCAGAAGCAACGCTCGCTGCAGTGCCTGGACTCCTTTTCGATGTACACAATTGTCACCAAGGATCCGGTCGAGATAATACAGGAGTCCATGGAGATACATCAGTTGATCTGTGAGGCAGCTGCCACGGCGAACAAATACTTTACCTATCAGCTGCTCACGATCATTTCAATTGCGTTCTTGATCATCGTCTTTGATGCTTACTATGTGCTTGAGACCTTGCTGGGCAAATCGAAGCGGGAGAGCAAATTCAAGACCGTGGAGTTTGTTACGTTCTTCTCATGCCAAATGATATTGTATTTGATTGCGATCATTTCAATTGTTGAGGGCAGCAATCGGGCCATCAAGAAGAGTGAAAAAACTGGCGGCATTGTGCACTCGCTGCTCAACAAGACGAAGAGCCCGGAGGTCAGAGACAAGCTGCAGCAGTTCTCCATGCAATTGATGCATCTGAAGATCAATTTTACAGCGGCAGGACTCTTTAACATTGATCGTACACTCTACTTTACGGTGAGTCCTTGCGGCTGGTCGATCTCAAGCTGTAAGCAGTTAATGGAAGACAGATTAAGTCCTATTCAAAAGCCTTATTTCTACGTCGTGCCTTAGAGCAAATCTACTGCTCCATTACTTTCGGCTACATCATTTAAAACCGGTCTTAATAAATATGCCATTTAATTTTTCCAGATTAGCGGTGCTTTGACCACCTATCTCATCATTTTGCTGCAGTTCACATCGAATTCACCGAGCAACGAGAGTGGAAATGGATTCGACTGTTGTGAAGCGTATCATAATATGACGAACCGTACAATTTAGTTGGTTATCGAGAAGTGCATGGAGCTGAATCTGGAGCTGGTGAAAATACACGCATATTTAACGTCCAAAGGTGTGCGGCAAATAATATTAAGTGGTTTTCTTAGATGTTGTTGCTTTTGCATGCATTGTCAATGTATTTTTCATAGATTTATTATTAGCAATAAAATGATAAGAATCAGACAAATTAATAAGTCGATTGTGAAATTGAGAAATGGCAAAATGGGAATACTATCATTTTATTATGTCCCAAAAGTTTGTTGTACTTCATAAAGCGAAAACCGCCGCAAACTTTTGTAAGGAGTTTGGCACCGAAAATAAAAAATAATATATAAAAAAAGATATCCATGAATTAAAAAGTGAGATTGTGGGGTGCCAAAGGTAAAATACCCTTGCTGACATATGGCTGAATTCTCATATCGATTTATATGCAGCCGATTGTTCTATATGATACAGTAATTAAATATTTATAAGATTTTACTCAAGCTCATATTAAAAACACAGTGTAGCGCGTAATTACTTAGCTTAGTCAATATATTTTTAAAATCAAAATCATGTTATATTGTTTTCGAATGATAATTCTTATGTCCACCTAGGATAATATTGTGTTGCGATCCAGCTGATGTATATTATGCCTTATTTAACACAGAAGTTTTTTCAATAAAATAAAGCATGTGTTTTAAAGATAATGTAAATGCATTATTGAATGCATTTTAAAACACATTTGAACATTTTAAACAAGGAAAAGAGATTAATGTATTTTTGTAGCTTCCATTGAAGATGTTTGGGTACTGTTTGATTATTCACAAGAAAAAAGATATGTAAGCCAATAATTTAACAATTCATATTGCACATATTTGTCCAAATTTAAATAGAAGCAGAATATATAAGCTATATAATCCTGTGGACTTTACATCCGTGTTGTAAAAAAAATATATATAACTATTTTATTCGCGCACCCTAGGTGGAATTTTAGGTTCTCATCAAACAAATAAAATACACAATAAAATAAAAAGTTTGAGTTGTAGTATCCGCGCTAGAATCCTTGACTAATGCTTTGTCCAAAAGCTAATGTATTGCCGTGGGTTATTATATAAATAATAAAAACATTATACCCTTTTAAAGGAACAATACCTTTTAGGATATAAAGACAATAATAATAATAATAATAAAAGGAAAACAAACAATATCAAAAATAAAAAATATCAATAATAATAATTATAATAATATTACCAATATTAATATTAATAATAATCACAATAATAACAATATAATGTATAGTCAAAAATAAATAATAAACGCATACATAAAGGCCAAGGGACGCTTTTAATCCTCGTAAAGCACTTGAACCACCCACATTAGTTACTCTAATTGTTTACCCCATTTCAGTCATGAAATTCGGTATGTGTAGCCGGTTAGGGGCGTTAAAATATCTCGTAAATAACTTGTTGCACTTGTGCCCCGGTCTGCGCCTAGCGTTATGCTACACATTGAAGCTTAATTAAATATTTACCGCTATTGGTAAGTATTAGCTTATTATGCCGTCCAGCCGTCCAAACGACTTCTGCCCCAGGTGCGCTAACGATTCTGACACATGAGCTGCGAACCGTAGATGACTGGGGCCAACATTTGCGCAGTCAGTTGTCGGCGAACGTGCGAGACGAACAAACGTGAATTCCCGTCTTCGGATTCCGGACTAAAACGGCGCTGGATTGGATATGGCTTTGAAGCTCTTGGAGCGCATGTCGCAGGCGGATAATGTGTTCCAATCGCTGCGCCCGCTCACGTATATATCGTTGGTGGGTCTGGCGCCGTTTCGATTGAACCTAAATGCGGACAAGGAAGTGCACACATCAACGTACTCCTTTATCGCCGGAATTGTACACTATTTGTTCTTTGTGGTGTGCTTCGTGGCATCTATATCCGAGGGGGATTCCATTATTGGCTACTTTTTTCAGACAAACATAACCAAACTTGGCGATGGCACCTTGCGATTAACGGGTATTATTGCCATGTCCACAATCTTTGGATTTGCCATGTTCAAGCGCCGGCGACTGGTCAGCATCATACAAAACAACATCATTGTGGACGAGATCTTTGTGCGGCTGGGCATGAAGCTGGACTATCGAAGAATTCTTCTATTCACCTTTCTCATCTCCCTGGGCATTGTCATCTTTAACGTTATTTATCTGTGTGTCAGCTATGGATTGTTGGTCAGTGCCACCATCTCACCATCCTTTGTCACCTTTACGGCGTTTGCCCTGCCCCACATCAACATCAGTCTCATGGTCTTCAAGTTTCTGTGCACCACCCACTTGGCCCAGAGCCGTTTCAGTATGGTAAATGAGGTAAGTAGTCGAACCAAATTAAAAACAAAACAAGCTAGTTATTTACGCAACAACCTTTTATGGGATATGCAACCAATTCTGTTCTAGATTATCTCTTCCATCTTTCAAGACAATTAAATTTAAAAACTATTTTACCCAATTGCTTACAGAATGACAGTGAGAGACTAAGACTTGCCGGTCTTAAGATAGCTTACAATATTTCTCGCAATTTCGAAGGGTTGGGAACCTATTATCGTTTCACTTGCATCCATTTTAAGTGAAGATCTTGCACTGATTTATTCGGGCATAGTAGGTCCAACTCTTTCTGCCATCGTAACTATCATCGTAAATATTGCAATTGAAAATTTCATTTTATGCCGTTAAGTAGTAAACGTTCCCCTCACAGCTCATTTAAATATACGATCTATAAAGAGTTCAATCGACCTTAACTAAACTGCATAAATAAACCGTTAGCAACATTTGACAAGCTACATTAATAAACTAAGTTTAATTTAGAGCAATTTCAACCAAAACTGTTTGTCCTGACTTACTGACTTATTGGTTTCGGCAAATTCCACCCGCATGTGTGGAAAATCGACCTGAACAACATTTTAAAGGATCTTTGTCTAAATTCATCTGAAGGGTGTTTCGCATTTTTTGGAAAATCCATAGGCTACGATATTGAAGACTATAAATATGACAATTTCATAAAAAAAAAACTATTTTACTCGATTTCTTCAGGAAATAATTAAATTAGCGAGTACAAAAGAAGGGCTTATAATTGTTTTAATGAAGTAATGTTACGCTTTATTACCAAGAATGTTAGTAAGAGACTACGAATTGCCATTCTTAGGATACAACAATTATCTGGATCTTTATAAATGCGTACACATTATTTTTTGGGTTCTATTTCTTACAGGATCTCTCGCAATCCAAACGGGTTTCGAACCTATTACCGTTTCCCTGGCATCCATTATATGTGAAGCTCCTGCACTGATTCATTTGGGGATAGTAGGTCCACTTCTCATGGCCCTCGTAGCAAAGTCCATGTTCTGAAGGTCTCTCGAAACAGCGAGCTAAAAGAAGAAGAACAGATTTACAGAGAATAAAACGTAGACAATAATCCAATTCTTACGGTGCTGCCGCTGACCCAAGACAATTTCTAAAAGGGCACACGCCAAAAAAACTGCAATCGTAAATTTCATTTTATGAGGTTAAGAAGTTCCCCTTGCAGCTGCTTTAAATACAAGATTTCTTAAGAGTTATAACACGCGTTACTAAACTGCATAAATAAACCATTAGCAACATCTGACAAGCTTCATTAATAAACAAATTTTAATTTACAGCAATTCCAACCGTAACTCCGAATCTCTATATATAAAACTGCTTGTTCTGACTGACTGACTTATTGACTGACTCACAGATGATCATATCCTAAGGGCTAGGAAGCTGTGAACTGACTTATTGGTTTCGGCAAATTCCACCCGCATGAGTGGAAAAATCGCGAAAAACGTTTGTACGAAACTTTTTTGCTTTCCATACGATCGGCCTGAAAAACATTGTCAAGGATCTTTGTCAAAATTCATCTGATGGATGGTCGCATTTTCTGGAAAATCCATAGGCCACGAAATTTAATTTAGATCAGACTATAAATATGACGATTTCATAAAAAAAAACAACTATTTTACTCGATTTCTTGAGGAAAAATTCAAGTCAGCGAGTACAAAAGAAGGGCTTATAATTGTTTTAATGAAATAATGTTACGCTTTATTATGAAGAATAATAGTAAGAGACTACGACCTGCCAGTCTTAGGATACAAAAGTTATCTGGATCTATATAAATGCGAATACCTTATTTTTTGAGTTCTATATCTTACAATATCTCTCGCAGATTTGACGGGTTGGGAACCTATTACCGTTTCCCATGCATCCATTATAAGTGAAGCTCCTGCACTGATTTATTCGGGGATAATAGGTCCACCTTTCATAGCCCTCGTAACATAGTCCATGCTGTGAAGGTTTCTTGAAACATCGAGCTAAACGGAAGAAAGAGTAGATTTACAGAGAATAAAACGTAGACAATACGCCAATTCTTACGGTGCTGCTGCTGACCCAAGACAATTTCTAAAAGGGCACACGCTAAAAAAACAGCAAACGTGAATTTCATTTTATGAAGCTAAGAAGTTCCCCTTGCAGCTGCTTTAAATACAAGATATTTTAAGGGCTTTAACAGGCGTTACTAAACTGCATAAATAAGCCATTAGCAATATCTGACAAGCTAGCATTATGTAACCTATATTCTAATCTCTATATATAAAAATGTTTGTCTTGACTGACTGAATGGCTATTAACGCACAGATTAGACCGTAGAGCTGAGAAGCTTTATGTGAAGGAGCTATAATTTATATATTTTATAGGCAAGCTCGTAAGCCTTCCCGGGCTACAGACTTTACAAGTGAAAGCCGTACACCATGGGTCCACATATCACATATCCATGCTCTGCAGGTTTCAGGCCACAAATCACTTTAACTGATTAAAAATTGTTCATAGATTCTACAGGATATTCTAGATGCTCATATTGAACTGAACAGCGCTTTGGAGCTCTCGCCAATGCATTCGGTGGTGAATCATCAGCGCTATGCGCACCGGTTACGCAATTTGATCAGCACACCAATGCAGCGGTACAGTGTTACCTCGATTATACGCCAGAATCCAGAGTATGCCATCAAGCAGGTGGCCAACATACACAATCTGCTGTGCGACATTTGCCACACTATCGAGGAGTACTTCACGTATCCGCTGCTCGGCATTATAGCTATATCATTTTTATTCATACTCTTCGACGACTTTTATATACTGGAGGCACTGTTGAATCCGAAGCGCTTGGATTACTTTGAGGCAGACGAGTTCTTTGCCTTCTTTCTGACCCAAATGATGTGGTACATTGTCATCATATTTCTGATCGTGGAGGCCAGCAGCAGCACCATACGCCATAGCAGCTTCAGCGCAGCCATTGTCCACAAGATTCTCAACATAACCGATGAAACGGAGCTGCGGGATCGCCTGTTTCGCCTGTCCCTGCAACTGTCCCACAGGAAGGTGAGATTCACTGCCGCAGGATTGTTTCGATTGGATCGCACACTGATATTTACGGTTTGTATTGGAGTAACGCTCAATATTTGCTCACTGATTGATTTTCACTTCTCTCTTCAGATAACTGGCGCTGCCACCTGCTACCTCATTATACTTATACAGTTTCGTTCCACTCATCACGTTGAAGATTCTGAATCTAACAATATTACGGACTATCTGTAACTCGACTACTATTGTAAAATCAATATTATTAAAACAACTTGTTATCAGAATTGTTCAATAAAGTAAAAATGACATGCAAATAATGCTCTTTCCGTTGAACAACTTTTAAATATAACGGACACACTGCCAGTTCCATTGCGTGGCGCTGCCAGCTCGTACCAAAGATAAGCACACTCTGCTGAAAGCAAGCAGTGCCAGCAAGCAGTAGCCCAAAACGCTGCACAGCACGCGCCATAACAGCAGCTGGCAGCGCAGCAAAAATTCAAAACGCCAACCGTTAAGTGGGAGAGAGACCGACTCTGTTGTCCTACTTTGACTTCTTTGTAGTTTGCATTTCGCTTGAAAGGCGCACGCCAGCTAATTGCCACAGTGAAGCATAATCGTAGACAGGCGCCATCCACCACTAATATGTGGCACTAGTAATCCATATAGACACGACATTTGGTCACCACGTACTCTCGCATAATCCAATAAGAGAAGCCGAATACGTCGCTTAGTGCAACGACATTTGATTGTTTTATTGCCTCAGCCGGTGCCAATCTCATTTCCAGCGTCGTGGGTGGTGATTGCTTTTTCATATATGTACATACATATGTGGATAACTTGTCTCAATTGTCAAGCGATATGCAAAATTGCTGAATACCAGCGGAACCTACTTACATTTAAACATGTGAATAAATTGAACTAGAACGTATGTACGCATGTAAGTATTTGTTCACTTAGCGCTAATCACTTCGATTAGCCGCATTGATAAGCCCTGGACAATTTGTTATCAACATCGTTCATTTTTATGATTTGTTTACTTTTCCACATACACCTTTCAAATACAAAATGCACTCAAAATTATGGGAATGGAGCTTATATACAAAGCGAACCAAATACATGCTATGTAGTTGGGTATGTGTAATATGCGTCGGGTCGGACGTTCAGTTGATAAGGCGCTGTAAAATTGCTCTAGATTGCCGAACAACAACGATTATAAATGCGAATTTTGCTTTTCGATATAAAGTCAAGCTAAATACAAATTTTAAACTAATATTGCGTGCATCTGTTCTACAGTTTGAGCTGAACTGATTAGAGGTAAAACTGCTTTGAAGCTCTGATATATGGAGTTTGAGTATGACAGGACTTTGCATGTTAACTCAGCTTTGAGCTACAGTTTGAGTAGCTTTGCACTGTGAACTGCTTTGTGCGCCTAAGCTGTGCTTTTTGTGAACAGCTTGTGGGCCACAGTTGGGCAAGCACTGACTTGAAATTTAATGCAGTTTAATTCAAATTTCAATGACAAATAACTGAAGCGCAAATTAACGCTGGCACACACACATACACGCACAAAATACTCATTGAGCGCACATTCATGTGCATACATACATGCATACATACACATAAATATTTACATATGTAGGTACAGGCGCACGTCAAACATTCATCAGCAGCAGCAGCCCGCCCGAACAGCTCATAGTAAGTACACAAACGCCGTAGTCGAAGTCGGGGCAGCGGCATCGGCAGCCCTGTTAGTTGCCCGTCCGCCAGAGAGGGCCGCGCACAGTCGTAATCAAGCGTTGGCGAGTAACGGTACACAAGCGCATTTTTTAGTATTTAGATCGCATTCGCATCCATACACAGTTTCGCATCAACGTGCCGCGTCTCGTATCCGTGGACCGCACAGCTCGAACGTATCCTTACAGCCACGCGTCAGGACATACTGCAAGAGTGAGTTATTGTTGGGCAAACAACAAGTCAAATTGACACAAGGACTTAACACAATTGCCAGCTGTTTTCCAGTTTTCCAATTAAAGAAAGAACAGAAATAAAAATAAAACTCATTGCTTAATCGCGCGCAGACTTATTAAGATTACAAACGATGGACAATGGCACAAGTACAAGTAGTATATATACAATATGTAGGCAGTAAGTACTCGAGCTGTTAATCTAGCTGGCGATAGGGTACTCTACTTGAGCCAAAAGTCGGCAGACGAACAATGGCAAATGTAAAAATACATATACTAAGCACGCCAGCAGCTTTTGTCAAGAATTTCTCAGCTATTGAGCAATAGTTGCCATAGTTTGAGCAGCACCTGTTGCTGCAGACCTTTTTCTCTCAATCAGTGTGCCAATTATAAACCGATTTAAATAAATTTGTCAGCGCAAACACCCAATTGTTGCGGCTAACTACTCGAGCTTGTTTAATCGCTTATTTTAACTTAAAGTAGCCTACGCTCTGAACTGTTTGTCACACGTGCCAAGCAAAAAACTCGCCAGTGTAAACAAATGTTAAGAGGGCACTCGGAACTGAGTTTGAGATGCATTTAATGAGAATTAACGGGCCGCTAAATATATACAAATTCAATTGCATAGGTCAGGAAGCAACGTACGGCTAAATCTCACCGAGAACTGCAAGTGCAAAGATATAGATAGATAAGTACAAACTGCGAATGCGGCGACAACAAATGCAAATTGCGTTGTTGCCTCGAAATCTTTCGAGTCAAGTCTATGCCGCTGCGGTTGCCACAATGCCACAATGCCATTTTGCATATATGTATTTGTTTGTGGTCAGCCGTATCTGAATCTCAGTCTGGATATCAATTTGAGTGTTGAATGGCGCATCAATTCAATTTGAATAGAGCCTATTGTAAATAATCTGCACTTGTAACTCTTCCATGCATTTGTATTTCGATTGTGTGCATCGGATTCCGCTCGGTAACTGATATCTATATTAAAAACACGTGTTAAACAGCTCCTATATCATATTCAGCTCGGTTTGCTCAATGGAAACAAAAATAATTGCTACTGACTCATTTGCTCAATTAAGAATTGAATCGATGAATTTGTAATTTCTAATACGTACGTATACTAGCTCTTCTGACCCTTCTTTTTACAATATTCTACTCTATTAGGCTAACTACTTAAATTCCATTCGAATCGAGTATTAAATAAAGCTGGTCAGCAAAATTATTGTGTATTGCAAAGTTCCAAAAATGTTTATTTTATAAGAAATCCCTCTTAACTGTTTATTTTTATTATCTGTTTCATTTTCTGGCTCTTGCTTGAATCGATTAAACATACTTTTCTCTTCTGTGTTTACATTTTCACTTAGTTTTTTTTTAATTTTTCGCTATAATAATTTACTGTAACAATTTTACAATTTAGTTGAAAAACATTTTGGGTTTTCTATATACGAATTTATGATGTGCCTACAGTTCACTTAAAATAACTTCAAATGAAACTCAAAACATCTCAAATATTGACAAAGTTTCTCGCTTCTCAGCTAGATAAGCACATATGTGAGAGTATTGCAGGTCTACCATTTCGTATAAAGTTGATAACTAGTAAACAAATTTCATAGAACTTAAAGCAGAAGTAAAAAAGTAAAACTCAAACCTAGTTTTATAGATCACAGCGTCCTCAACTTTGACTCAGCAACTGCTAAACTATCTCGGTTAAGTTTGTGTGTTAATACAAATATATATGTGTATATAGTTATATATGTGACAAAGTGACATAAGCTAATGTCACTTGATCAGAAGAACCTGCCCCAACCTTGGCACTGCGTACTCAGTTGAACAAAAATAAAAAAAATATACAATCTGACTCGCTGCAGATACTTTTGTATCTATTAGTTTGCATTATATTTGTAAATAACTGTCGGCGTTGATATATGGTATGCTGAGGGGTGTCTATCAATTTGTAGAATTTTGTAAAATTTGTAAAATGTTGATGCGCATCCAAAGCACACAGAGGTTAACTCGAGCTCTTTGTTGTCAATTTTTGCGTTTACAACTCGATTCGGGATCGCCCCTTAAAAAGGCATCTGTGCTCGTATTGCATTGTCGTTTAATGTTTGGCTTTATGATTAAAGTGGAATATCACATGCTTAATTTAATAACGAAGCGCGAGAATTGCCCCTCAGTAAAAAAAAAAAAATGAAACGAGCCCAATTGAAGCAATTATTCTTTCTTTCGACTTTAGTCAAAATACGTTCTCTAGTATCTGTATATTTATATAGTATATTTGTGCATTGTGTCTCGTGCGTGGGCATTAATCTTGATTTCAATTAAGTTAAATACACATTAAAAATAAAAATTACCAAAAAACTCGAGAGCAGATTGGAATTCTAATTCAGAAGAGACTCTACCAATATAACTCAACAAGTGTCAATCAAATTTTGTAGAACCCACAAAAAAATGAAGAAAAGAATGGTCAAGTGCCGGCAAACTGTTATTTTTACTTTTTATTTTTTCATCTTTATTCATGACAAAACGAATGCATTCATCAACTGATGCTCTCCATATATTTTTTTACCGCCATTTGGTGCGGCAGAACCGTAGGTGTCAAAGACCCAACCATAGCTCACATCGGGGTCAATTGATAGACTCAATTATGGCAATATATCACAGAGCACAGCGCCCAGACAAATACACACATAGTTATATATATATATACACATGCATATTTACAAAGGCGATCTGAACAATTTGTATTGTTGATAATTGTTCAGGGCACGTTACGTGAGAATTTTTAAGGAAACAATTACGTTGAATATTTTGTGACCCGGCGACCCATTGATAAGATTGCTGTGAAATGCATTTCGCAGCATTTCCTTGATTTTCGTGCTATCTATAGGTGCACGGTTGCACCATGGGTCTCTTCAGCTGTTGCTTATCGGGTTCAAAGTACGCTTATCAATAACAGCCGGCAATTGATTCACATCGACTGATGACGCTCTGGTCTGTATATCAATTGGTTTCTGCACAGACAACCCGACTCGGATATCGTTTGGGGTAGCTGTACTGCAAAACAGCAACAATACCAATTGTAATTCAAAGAGTTTAGTGCTATATTACGTATACGTATATAGCGTATACGTATCAGGTTGCATTGATTATAAAAATATAAAGTAAAAACGCCGGCTTGCATGTGCGCCGCACATAGTCGGCTTCGTAATTATCAACACTGATACACTCTATCAATAGAAATAAATATGCATGCAAATGTATGACTATTTACTTAACACGAGTGTGAACAAGTCACGTGTTACAACTATTGTTGCAAAACTATCGGAAGTGTACTTAATTTATGGCTATTTATACAGCTCTCCAGCTATCTATCAGCCCGCATCCACGCCTACAACATGTTTGCATATCATTTCGATCCATTTGCTGAATTTGAATATGGAACAAAGTATTAGCTGGGCAGACCTTCCTTTAAGTATGCTACACTTTATTTTAACGGAGGAAACTAAATGGGTATCAATAAACTTTTCATTAATAAATAAACTATTAAGAATTGCTTGAAAAGTAAATTAAAACGAGTTAATTGAGACATTCTCACTTTAGCACGCCGTACAATAATTACCCTATTACGCATATGGCTTACAAAAGCTTTATATCCGGCCAATTTACCCATAAAAGCCATATATTCCGCTTTCAAACGGCTTTAATAATTGCTTACTTTCATGTAGTTTTCCTAAAAAACATAAAATTTGTACATTCAGAAACTCATTTCTAGAAATATTCTTTCTCTGAATCCAAATGATATAATATAGTTTTCTGTTGTTCATAAGATGACATGACAAATTTTGCAAAGGCAAAACGGCTAGTTTAATGCAAATGACTTTACAAATCGAGTTCTGTTCAGTTGTTTCTATAGCAACTATGCAATATAGGTCAGTGTTGATTAATTAAATATACATTTTAAGTGTTGATTAGCTCACGTTTGTTGAGCTAGGTCCAGATATCAATTTTTATGAACGAACAGCTCGTCGTCGTCTATTGCCATTTTTTCCAGGTCAACCAAGAAGTTTTCATATTTGACAAGCTCAAATTTCATGCACTATGGCTTCCTTTTTTTTTTATTTTTATATTCAATAGACACCTTGGAGCTGCACAGCCATGCCTGCACAGAACAGCGGCCAGTGGCGGCGTAAAAGCAATCGGGGTTTGATAATTGGCCTATTTGGGTTTTGCTTTGGTATATTTGGCATAGTGTACGGCATGTTCTGGGAGGATATCTTCAATTGGATCAAGCATAAGGTAATTCAAGTTTACGGCTGCAGCTGCATTCGCTTAACGCCAATTAAAGCCAAGCCAGGCCGACTCAAGTCGAGTCGAGCCGTTGGCTCAAACGAGCCGCCTCAATTGATGCACACTTGTCGAGATTTTCAATTAATGGCAATTGGGATTTGATCTTTGTACAGGAAATGGCGCTTGCGCCCGACACACGCGTCTATCAGAATTGGAAGACGCCGCCAATGGAACTGCACTTGGATATCTACTTGTACAACTGGACAAATCCCGAAGAGTTTGGCAATCTAAGCAGCAAGCCCATCTTACAGCAGCTGGGCCCATATCGTTTTATAGACAGGCCCGATAAGGTGAACATTAGCTGGCATCCATCGAACAACTCGGTCACCTATCGCCGCCGCAGCTTGTACTATTTTGATGCCGCCGGAAGTGCGGGCAGTCTGGACGATGAGATCACCACGCTCAACGCTGTGGCCCTGGTTCGTATTCCCAGTCCGCAGCAATTTAACCCGAGCTAACTGTCCGCTCTTGCAGTCGGCGGCAGCCACGGCCAAGTATTGGAGTCCTGTCAAGCGGGGCATGGTCGATGTGGGCCTAAAGCTTTATGGCCAGGAGATGTATGTCACGAAAACGGTCGACGAAATGCTCTTCACTGGCTACAGCGATCCCATGATCGATGTGGCCATGGCCATGCCCATTTTTGGGGACGATGTTAAGGTGCCCTTCGACAAGTTCGGCTGGTTTTACACGCGCAACGGCAGCGCCGATCTAACAGGTGTCTTTAATGTCTTCACTGGCGTCGACGATCTGGCCAAGCTGGGTCAAATGCATTCCTGGAACTATCAGACGCACACGGGCTTCTTTGACTCGTACTGCGGTCTGGCCAATGGCTCGGCCGGCGAATTTCAGCCGCAGCAGCCTCAACCGGGCGGCAGTGTCGGTCTCTTCACGCCGGACATGTGTCGTACTCTGCCATTGGACTACGCGGAGACACAGGAAATCGAAGGATTGCAGGCCTACAAGTTCGCAGGCGGTGCGCGCTCCGTTGACAATGGTAAGCGCCAGCCAATCTCATCAGTATTAACAAGCTTAACTATGTATGCAAATGTCTACAAGGGTATTAAATATTCGGTGCACCAAAGATATCTTTTTTTGGTGTTATAAAATGTGTTGAGTAAATTTATAAAAATGCTACTATCATTATCATATTATTACTATATACATGTCTAGAATTGTTTGCGCCTAATCGAAAAATAATCTGTCTTGCAGGCACAATATATCCGGAGAATCTGTGCTTCTGCGGTGGCGAATGCGTGCCCTCCGGCGTAATGAACATCAGTTCATGCCGCTTCGGCTCACCCGTATTTATGTCGTATCCGCATTTCTACAATGCCGATCCGTTCTATGTGGATCAGGTAGAGGGTCTGCAGCCCAATAAGGAGCAGCACGAGTTCTATATGGTCGTGGAGCCAAGCACAGGCATCCCGCTTGAGGTGGCAGCACGTTTCCAGGTTAACATGCTGGTGGAGCCCATTGAGGGCATTGCATTGTACCAGGACATTCCACGAATTTTCTTTCCGCTGATCTGGTTTGAGCAAAAGGTGAGAATCACGCCCGATTTGGCCGATCAGCTAAAGCTCTTGCCATTGGTGCTGCTGTCTGGCCATATTTTTGCGGGTGTGTGCCTGGCCGTGGGTCTCATCATGCTTCTCTGGATGCCCGTTCATCAGCTGCTCACCTGGTGCCAGACACGTGAATACGACGTGAAGATGCAGCACAAAAGCAACGGACACTACAAAAATCGCTCGCAGTTCTCCAGCGCTGAGGAGCTGAAGTCCAAGGCCTCGACGCTGGTGTGCGAGAAGAGCGCTGGCGCCACGCCGGACAGTTCGCCGCTGCTGGAACGGAATCGCAAGGCCACTGTGCTGATGTCCAAGTCGCAGACAGGTGACAGCATGGCCACTGCCTCAACAGCCCTCAGCGAGACGGCGGACGGCAAACAGGACTAACGGAGTAAACAGGATCAACTAGCCGTCCTAGTGCTTTACCATAGTTAATAGTCAGTTAGTGTAGGAAAAACATGCATATTATATAAATATATGTATAAGCATATATATAAATATGTCCCTCATCCTGTTTGGATCCAGCTCCTCATTCCGGAGTACATACATGCATAGGTGGCAATGCCAAAGATTATATAGCTGCGGGGAGAGTTGTATGAATGCCATGGCATGGCATATTGCATAGCTAACGAATACTCTTTCTACATCTTAATAAATATATATAGTTTTAGAATTGTATTTGAAATGTTAAGACACTTTAGAACACCGAGAATTTTGATAAAACTGTTTTCTATAAATCATAGGAATGTTTTTATATGTAAAAGCTCAATATCGAATTAAACATTTTATATACAAACTTATGTGTTTTTATGCCATTTATTTTTGTTTAAGTGGTTTGCAAATTGCTGTTTTTCTTCTAATAATTGATTGCAGTCGAGAAATTTGCGATATACTTAGTTACCTTATATGATGAAGGTGCACGTTTAGACAGGCTTTCGGGAAATTCCATCTGCATGTGTGAAAAAATAGCGAAAACATTTTCATACATGCATACATACATACATACATACATACATACATACATACATACATACATACATACATACATACATACATACATACATACATACATACATACATACATACATACATACATACATACATACATACATACATACATACATACATACATACATACATACATACATACATACATACATACATACATACGTACGTACGTACGTACATACATACATATTATGTACATACATACATATTATGTACATACATACATATAATGTACATACATACATATTATGTACATACTAACACAAAAAAAAAACACAAAAAAAAAAACACCAAAAATAAAAACACAAAAAAAAAAACACAAAAAAATAACACAAAAAAAAAACACAAAAAAAAAATACCAAAAAAAAATACACTACCAGCTTTGCATGAAAAACTGCACAGCCTACTTAAATTCTTGAGAATCGAGGAGGAGAGCACTTGGTACAAATTCGTTTTATTTAAATCTTCAGCATAGCGACAAATAAGCTTGTCCTGATTTTGGTATTAAAAGGGAACCATATATGTTTGTACATATACATATATTCATAAATGCACACACACATGCATGCATACACTAACACACACACGCCAAAACACACACAACATTATTCTATGGACATAGAACAAAATTGAATACCACCATAACTTGGCCAAATCTCATCCGATTTTCACGAGGCTAGGAGTTTTGCTCATTGTTTGGTCTCTAGATCAATCTGGCAACATTATTGTTGTTTTTAGGTTTTATCAGATTTGCTTTAAAGTTACTTTCAAAGCTACATAAGACGTTAATGGGTTTTACAACTCATATTCAAAGATCATTGAGAGAATTTGTTTTATATCTACCTAGAGCAAGGCCGGGGTATACCCGCTAGTATCTAATATGACAGCAGCTCTGTAGCTCCCGAACTGTAATGTGTGCTTAAATTCGATCGCAAGACTGTTTAACACTGCTTACACCTGCTTGTGTGCTCTGCTTGTCAATGTGTGCTTAATGAACTGCTTGGGAACTATTGAGTGACTCTTAAACTGTATTAAACTGTTCTATTTAAGTTAACAATAATTTAACAATTATCATTTATATTTTTGTCTTAGGATATAAATACAGCGTTCACACTGACTGCTTGCTTTGCATTCAGAGGCTGTCAAACTGTCAAAGTGATTTGCCTTGCCTTATTTTAAAATAATTTTAAAAAATGTATTTATAAGTATAAAAGGTAACAAAATTTACATTTTATTGCTACACATACAAATATATGTACATAACATAGATACTTATAATATATAGTACAATATACCTTACGAAAAAAAACCCTAGTAAAGTCTTTGCTCTATGTAGCGTGTTGTGTGCGTTTCGTATCGCAGATCATACTTGAACTTAAAAACACTTTAGCTTTAAACAATTTTGGAGCAAATAACTACAAATTACAATCGTACAACAATATTTGCAATATCACAAATGACCCAACTTACAGACTTAAGATACAAACCAATCAAAAGTGAGGTATGGAAGAGTTGTCCCAATTATTTCTTTGACTTTTTGTAGTCCTCAGTGTAGCCATAGCTGTCGGCCTCTGTAAAATCAAAAAACAATATTATTTCAAAGAGCTAATGAGTATATTTAAGCTACTTACGTTCGTAATCCTTGGAGTAGCACTCAAAGAACTCGCCCAGCAGCTTGCCAGGCGGCAGCTCCCAGGTGGCCGTGCCGCCATATTTGGGCGGCAGGGCGCCGGCATCAATGTGCGTGGTTAAAGACTTCCAGTCCTTGCCGTGGAAAAAGATCTGCGCGATATAAGTCTTATTAGTATTAAGTACTTAAGCAACTGTTGCTGGTTTATTATGATTTAACTTACGCGCTTGCGCAGCTTCTCGCGAATGAAGGGCTTGAATATGGCAAACAGCATATTGAATATGTACGAGTTATTCACAATGTGAACACCCTTCAGGCGCATGCAGATGCACTCCTGCACATAATCCAACAGCATGGCGGCAAACGATGGTGTGAACTGTGTTATGTGGCTCAAAGGTAGACCTGTAACAATAGACACAACGTTATTGTTAATGCTCCGTCCGGTCGTAAAGCAAAGTGCACATCATATTAAACTTGACCAACGCTCTTTGTGGCCGGCTTGGCTTTATTACCTTCCATATCAATTATGACAACGGCGCCACAGATTTGTGAAAATGGCTCCACCATGGAGCCCAGCACGGTCAGCTGTATGCCACGAAACAGATCCGGCAGCGGCACCTTCGATGGCTTCCATTTCTCTATTAAGGTCGAGAGATTAGGCACACGCTCGCATATATTTAGGGGTCGTTTTGTTACTTACTGCCCGCTTCCAGGACGAGTAGACGACGGCCATGCTGATCCCTGTTGGGCAGCAGGTTCAAGATTTCACCCTCAAACACATTGCGCAGCTTGGCGGGCACAATGTTCTCACATGCAATGCCATACTTTAGTTTCATGTTGTAGAAATTCTTGAGCTGTAGAATAAAACAAGCGTAATTAATTATATTAGTTAATCCAAGTTTTTTTTTATCTAGAAAATGATTAAGACTTACGCGCTTGAGAGCACTCTCGGGATAATAGTGGCAAGGACGCAGAAACATCATCATGTACTCATCATCCAGTGGCAAGTGTAGGTACTTTTCATCTATGAGACGTGAAATAATATTCAAAGTAAAGAAACAATAGCTTGGCTCAGGCAACAGCGGCTACTCACTTTGTATGAGCTCCCTTAGCTCCTTAATGGCCTGCTCCTTGATGCCGGGCAGCTCGCGCAGCTCATCTTGTGCCTTCTTCAGGGCCCAGTCGGGCGCCTGCTCCTTTTCCATGCGTATCTGGGCACTGCCCAGGTCAATATATGGCAGCTGATTGTCATCGTAGCTAATGCACTCCGCTTTGCCCATCTTGACTACTTGGAGCTGCGATCGAGAATGAAAGTTTATTCAATAAGCTCAAAAGTTTTTGTAGCCAAAGTGCTTGACACAACTGGGTTATTTCCGCCCTAGCGCAGTGGTTCAATGCCTTGGCCCAATGCTCAAACATGACTCAATGCTGAACTTCATTAACAAGCCCGCAGCGGAAGACGAAGCCGACAAAACACGCACACACAAATACACACAGTGGCCAAGAGCGGCGGACTGACAGCCGAGAGAGGGTGCTAGGGCGAGATGTAGACAATGTTACCAAAACTGGTCACACAACGTCACAAGCCGCACGCCAAAAACCGCTAAGGTTTATGCGAATACCCTAACTAAGAGTAAGTTGATTTTATATCAATGCTTGACAATGCCTCTCAATCTTATAAAAGCCCTTATCTCATATGTTCAAATATATAGAATCTATATAAGAGTCAAGGAATGGGTAAATATTCAACGAAGTACGCATGCAAACTTGACCTTATGCTTAACATACTTTTAACATTCACATTTAACAGAGTGAAAACTTATAATGTTATGTAACATACAGCACTCGAAAAGCGTAAAATATAAGAACCCCCAAAGACAAAGTAAACTCAGATAAATTATAATTATATAATTATATTATATTTAAGACACTTCTTAAGCCAAAAGGAAGTTCTTACGCAAATGTACGAAAATCTAAATTTTCCATATAAAATTGGAGTTCCTTCAAAGTATCGCTTACTCGTCGGAAATCGACTATATAGCTGTCGTAATACAATACTTTATTATAAATAGGATGTATATATGGTATTATAGAGTATCTATAATATGCCATTTAATGGAGTAAAGTCTTAAAATACCAATCTCTACTCTGATATTTATACTTTGCTCTCAATGTGCTTGCAATTTATATTAATTGCTGACTGCCTTAGTTTCATTTTTTTCATTATATTTGAAGAGTATTTAAGCTGCAGCTTGTGTATGATAATATTTTGTTTTATGCTTGTTGTTGCGGCTATTTTTGACTATTCGTAGACGACTTGGCAACGACTTGGTTAATAAAACCAGGCCCAACTTGACTAAGCATGACGTAGCGAAACATGCTCCACACTTGACCCAAAGCAGAGAGAGAGGCACAAAAGAGAGAGAGAGTGAATGAGAAAGAGAGACGATAGAGCGAGAGGGAGATCTAGCTAGCCGCCACGAAGCGCCCATCAAACGTATGTTAACTGTTCCAAAAGCCGTTTTACGACTCGGCCAAAGAGCAATTAGTTAGTCTATTTGTGTGCGACATTTTCAAGGTAAAAGTCAAGGCCAGAGCAGAGCTAAAACCGATTCAATATTTAATTTTAAATACTCATTAAATACTCATCGTCAATAGAAACCATCAGATATGTATAAACTGATTTCGGTTTTACTATTCAGACAAAGTCCAGATATTTTCATATAAAAAACCTTTTGTAACATGGCTTTGGTTGTTTGCAGTTTTTTTTTCTCCTTTTCTCTTTTTTTTTTTTGGGCATTATATTTGGGTTTACTTTGTCCCGAGTTCAACAGCCCATAATGTTATGCGCATACATTTTGTTTTGGACCTTCTGTTAGGTAAAGTAAAGTACTCGAATCGAGCAGCGTAAAAAGAGTATAAATAAATAATTTTGAAAAGCAGCGTGCAGCTAATTTGATATGTGGATCGTGGCAGAATTGTGATTCCCAATTAGCCACATGCAAAGTGTCACGTCAATTACAAAATGTTGGCACAAAAATTGAGATAATGATACCTAGTTATAGACAACAAAACTAAATTGATCAAGGCATTACATAAGGGTGAGATCTTAAGGAATTAGGCTGTCTCTCTTTGAAAATATAATCAGCCAATTTAAATACTTTAAACAATCTGTTGTGATCTTGAATAACAGTATTTATGTCTTTACAATAGGGAAAAGTTACTTAAAATGAGTTTCAAAAAAACAGCTGCAAAATAAATATCATAAAATAAACTTTAAGTGAAAAGTTATGTTCAATAAATCTGATAAATCTATTGGAATATATCTAACAACAAATTAATATAGTGGATGTGAGACTATTTTTATAGAAAATGTCAGGCAGGGTTATCTTGACTTATCGATCGTATGCAACAAAACTTTAATACAATCTATGTGTCACATAATAAAAGATCAGCTTAGCAAAGATCTTGAATATTGCAACAATCGATAAAAAAACAAAGGCAAAACAACAAAACGAAATCAACTGGAGACAAAGTCAAACAAAACTAAACTTGAAAACATTTTAAAGATTTGCTAATCATTGATGAACTGAAGCCGCTAATAACAAAGAATGAATTACGAAAAGATTTTGTGGCATTTTATCAAAACAATGAAGGAGTATATATATTTACAATAAAGTAACATAATTGAATATACTAATATATCTAAACAAAGAAACCTTGTTATTGGCTCATAGAAAGGATTTGAATATAGATGTTCCGTATTATTGTAAAAAAAAAAGGTAACACATTCACCAAAGTATTTCTTATATTTTAAAACAAATGACGCCCTTCTTTGCGCTTCTCACTATTCAAAGTTCATGAGCCACAACTCCCTTTGGCATTGAACCAAAACCTGTGTCATCTTTATCAAGGTTATATCCACTTAAGGTGCAGTCTTCATTTCGCTGTATACGTAAGAAAATAAACAATGACCGACCAGTCCCAATCAAGGTCCACAGGAAATCAGATCACTTTATTTATTTATGAGCTTTAATTGGGCAATTTTCCCTACTCGATATATACGTACGTTACATATGCGACTTATTATTGCACAGCTCCACAATGAATAATAATAAAGTATATATATATATATAGTAATAAATGTGTATATGTATTCTGTTGTCACAGACAACTGACCTCACTTAGGATAATTTGTTGTTAAATTGCAACTCAAATGAGGCGAGTCGTTCTCGACTGTCACCCGGGAACTTTCTAGCTCGACTGCAATTAAGTAGCTGCCCATCAATAAACAGTCGTTTAATCAACAGTAGTCTCCGGCTAACTGGTAAATATGAAACATTATTTAAATGCTGATAACTGGTATCGGCTACAAGTTCTCTCACACACACACACACACATTTCTGCGATACAGGCCACAAAACATGCGAAAGTCGCAATAGAAATTAGTGATGTGTGTGTATACATAAATATCAAGCAGAAATAAATTTAACTTTTATACGAACTTTATTTTTATAGTTATATAATTTTATTAAATTTATTTATTATATAAAAAGAGTTCTATAAAATGTATTATCATTTTTAATATCAATCATATCAACCATTTTTCAGACCAGATTAAATTTGAATACATTTGGAATAAACATTTTTCAAAACTATGTGAGGACGGTATCACAAATATACAAGATTTTTATGGACTCAATTAAAAAATATATTTAATAATATAGATAATAAATTTTTAAAAAATTTGACCCACATTCGGCATCTGAAAAATAGTTAAGACGCACGAGGTCGGTTCAAAAATAAATGCATAATAAATATTGTATAATAATAAGTTGAGAGAAGAATCTCAACTTCTGCCCACCTTTCCTTAACAGCAATCTTAACGACCTTCGACTTCAATTTTCGGCTCACTTTTGACTGTGATAGTTCGTTTTTGTAAGGTTTACACTAAAATATGTGGCCTTGAATAAGCTTAAAACAAGTGCCAATTATTACATTTGCTGTTTACGCCAACAGAAAAGAAAGGTGCGCAAATGAAGCGAAAGTTAAAATAACAAAAGGCAAAAGAAAATTTCAAAATGTGTGTAAATTTGTATGGCAATGGGAATAAGTAATTAAAGAGGACTGTTTTCTAGGGACTTCTCTGGCTCACACACAAAAAAAGCGAATCATCGCTCACGAGCCCATCTCTAATCAACCGTATTGCATTAAAGTATCTTTATATAGAGTCAGTCGTATGGCATGTATTTCAATTCCAGGGCGACCCTTTGAACATATAGGAGAAATGTTTAATCGGGTTGTGTATATAGACTCTATATATATATATTGAAATATCGTTAAAGTGTAAATGCATTTGCACAAGCGATTATCGTCTAAGTACAATAACTTTAAAGTACCCGCCAGATAATTGGCTATTCTTGTTGCTTAAGCCTGATTAGCGCTAGGAAAACAAAAAAATAAATAAATAAATAAAAGCTGAGGAAATAAAGCAAACTGGACTTGTACATGAAGCAAATTGTACAATATCAAAGCTGCTTGGTAATGCACTTAAAAAAAAAACTCATAAAATTCAAACTGCACTCGATACCTATAAAAATCTATATACCTATTAAAAATCATAAAGAAATAGAAATACACATAGCGTGATCCGCATAAATGAACAAGCTCTAAAATTGATCAGGCAATCGACCATTAAATGCAAATTACTGTTTTTTACAGAATCTTATAGACCCCACACCAGATGACAAAGCACTTGTTGTCTGAAATGTATGAAAAAACAAGAGTGCCTTATTCGGGAATGACCGGCTAGGGGATACCCTGTAGCTTCTTCTGCTTACACCAAATGAAGCTCGCGCTACAAAACTTTGTATACAAAACTAAGAAGTCAGCTCAAAAAGCTAGATTTCGATATCGATTTTTATCGATTGCGTGGAAACGTGTCAAGTTATCGGTTATCGAAAACAAACTCATACTGCGTGGGCACAAAGAAAACCAAAACCAAAGCAGCGTGGACAGACGGATGGATGCACAGATCGACTCGGCTTGTTACATACACTTGCACAAAAACAGTATACCCTTTTTATCCATTTTCAATGGGTACAGGGTATAAGCAGCGAAAAAATAGCACATGCATTTGGCGATGATGACTTGAAAATGTGCATAAATAACCATACTCCATGGTCGTGGTCGCAGTCGCAGTTGTAGTTGTAGTTGTAGTTTTAGTTATAATCGTAATCCATGTGCGAACTGCACGCGCCACGCCCCACTGTTGCTCATTTTTAAGATCGTAACGAGCTAATTGAAATAACAATAACAATGTGTTAGAAACGTGTTCGAACAGCAAGTATTACTGTGAACAGAACTGAAGATTCTGGATATGAATAATGCTTATAACGGAGCTGTGTATTATAACCTGTCTATATGCATATAATATATATGCACATTAATAATATAACACACATTTCATGCAAATCATTCTATTATAATAATAATATTATTAGCACTTGGCTATTATTCATAATTACAATTAATGTGAAATGACAACACAAAATGCAAATTGAGGCAATTATATGTCGGGACAGACCTTTGAACGCGATTGCAGTATCCGACATTACAAAGGCCAAAAATCAAAGGAAATTATATTTACTCTAAGCGGAGTATGAATGGCAAATATTATTATTTAATTAAATATAGTTACGTAAATCGCTCAGAAAGTTGACTCTTTCAATATTGAAAGAACTTTGTCAACTGTTAATTTTTGCTTATTTCAAATTTCAAAAGTATAAAAACTGTTGATTTTTAAGTGCTTTATTTGAAAGTATGCATGATATCATCAAATCCACAAAACAAATGCATATAATTAGCAACATTTTTCTAATTGATTATAGCCCAAGACTAAAGGCGTTGATTCGACAACAAACTAGGCAAGGTTCTTCCCATAAACATTTCCATTCGAATGAAAAGCATTATAATACATTTGTCAAAAAACATTTCAATGAATTTATTTGATCTAATCAGTATCAACAGCATCCCTGAAAATGTCACGTAAACTCACAAGAGAAGTGACCATGGAGGGCTAGAAGAGCACATGCAAAATTCTGAGAAAATGAAAGCGCGCAAAACTCAGTTATTTGAGTAAAACAGCAAATCCACAATAAATGCGCTTTATGGCAGTGCAAATGTCGGAACTCTATTCAAAAGATGCCCATTAATAATAATATTCATCTTTATTTAACGTTTCAATTAAATTGAGTAGACAAATTTGTAGCTAATTTTTAAGAATTAATTTACAGCCCATTTTTAGTTGGCAAAAGTCGTGAATAAAGTTCAAAATCAGGAACAGTAAGTGTATAAATATTTGTTCATAATATTGAGAATACCCTTGTAGAGGCTATTATGACTAAGTCAAGAAATATAGATGGAAACATCTTCGATTTACATAAAGTTCTTATATTCTAGATCAGCATCAATAGTCGAGTTGGTAAAGCCATATTCATCTGTTCCTGTATGAACAACTTATAACTTGACCGAACCCGGCAATAATTGGTTAGACTATGCTGCCCTCATAGAAGCCAAATCTGATCAGTATCGCACTTCTATATTGCATATATAGCAATATAGGCGGAATCGGTTGTAAACTGAGTTTTAGCATTGCAAAATCTCGGTCGCACTCGCTGTCTTCTGGGAAACAAGAGACTGACCACTTTGAACCCGCCACCTTTTGAAATGTTGGACTTGCAAACACTTCCCATAAGTGTTTACCACTTGAAATTGCTGAGGAATTTGCATAAAAATGTAATTGCATATATCAAGCGTGGTGCCGGCCTAGAAATGCTGCTCTAGAATCAGGCAGAGCCGGTTTCGATATTCAAACTGCCAAACGTTGGCATCGATATACTATATACAACTATATACAACTATATATATATAGATATATATATTGGCAAAACAACTTGCCTTCGGCTCAAGTACAGATTGGCACACGCATCTGATTTGTTGCCTAGGCAAATGCCAAAACTCAAAAGCGGCTTTTGTTCGCTTTTTATGCTCTTTTATTTATTTTATTTATTTTTTTTCTATTTTTCGCTATATATCAGCCCACACCTGACAAATTAACTTTTTGGCCAAATACACGAACAGTAACGAGAAACTATGCATGCATACATAACTGAAGTATAGCGGCTGTTAAAGATGTTTAACTGGTTTCCAGTTGGACTGTTCAGTTTTTGGCGCTTTTTATTATAGTACTCAGATGTTGACTGCATGGCCTATTCAATAGGCAGTCGTCATCAAGGTCGCAGTTTTTCAGCAGTTGATAGTGTATAAAGAGTCTAAAATTGGTTAGACAAACACAAATTGAGGCACAAGTCGCAGGCCTATCGTCTATCGGCGTGTATTTTGGTGTCATTAGCACAATGCTCGATCGCTGGCCACTGTCCGTAATATTTATAAGGCCAGCGTACGTAAATCCCATGAATCAGCATTTACACATAAGGTAAACAAGTGCGAGTCTTACTGAGTACTGAGCACAACTGCAAATTATATGCAATCAAAATCAGTGCGTGTCAAGCTCAACAACCTTCAGACACTTTGACAAAGGGACAACACACAGTTTATGTACATTTAAGTTATGCTACAAATACTAAATAAAGTCCAACTTCACATTCGATATCTGACGATCAAAACATAAAGCTGCCAGGTCCCAACGAAAATGTTATAGTTGTTATTCTTGGTGTATCTTTGAGAAATATAGAAGTTTATTGCTCCGAAAACGTTGCTGTCTATAAAAAGTAGAAGGTTCTAGTCGGGAGCTCCCGATTAGGGGATACCCTGAACCCTCCTTCTTCCAACATCAAATGCATATATACATATATTCTATTTTAGAAGCTATATGCCAAGTTTGCTGACTCTAGCTCTTATTATTTACCAAAATTGCCCAAAAAACAGGATATCGATATAGATTTTTATCGATTGCTTGGAAACGAAGTAAGTTATCGATTATCGGAAACAAACTCGATCTGCGCGGGAACTAGGAGCATCTACATCTAAAATTTTAAGTCTCTAGCTCTTATAGGTTCTGAGATCCTTGCGTTCATACATACGGACAGACGGACGGACGGACTGACGGACAGACAGACAGACAGACAGACGGACATGGCTAGATCGACTCGGCTATTGGTGCTGATCAAGAATATATATACTTTATGGGGTCGAAGATGCTTCCTCTTGCCTGTTACATACATTTGGATTTTGCACAAATACAATATACCCTTATACCCATTTTTAATGGGTTCAGGGTATAAAAAGTATGGGAAAATTATCTTTAAGCAAAGTGAGTTCCTTAAGAAGTTGAGTCAATAAGGGACACCGGTTCATACCCTAGATGTTAAAATTGTAGACCTGTTAGGCAGGCACAACTCGAGAATCCACTTAACTTTATTCTATTGAAGCTTTAAAATGAAAGCACTTCATACAAAACTTTCTCAGACCAATGTGAATAACAATTTTGACATGATAAATTGCAAGCATTAAAAATCTTTTAAAGTGCTTTTCAGAAATACAGAAAAGACTAGAACAGTATTTAATAGGGATCAAGGAATATATATATATAAAATATTTGATGCAAGAGAAGACAACGAAAATTGCTCGCCTAATAAATTAAATAAATACATTTTCGTTATTTATAATCATTTCTAAGCACTTAAAAATAATTAAAATTGTAGATTGAAGAAAAAAATATTATAAATAATTAAATAAAAGCGAGCCAATTGAATCGCCGCACAAAAAACCGGATAACTGTAGTTAAAATATTCGATTTAAAGTAGGAAATAAAAAGTCTAAATACAAATTAAAGTTTGTAATTAAGTTTGCAGTTACAATTTCTAACTTTTCCCTACTTTAGTTGGAGTAGAAAGAGAAACTGATTATAAAGTATTTAAAGCGGTTTTTCAAGCTTTAATCTTAAAGGCCTTTTAACAATTATCGCAGATATGGAGATTGGGCTACCTTTAAAGAAGCGGCATTGAATGTATCTATGTAACTACATTGTAAATGGCTGGAAGCTGAAAGTTGTAGCAGCAGCTGATCGGGCCGATTATGAATGGGCAGCTAGATGGAATCGCTGACGAAATGCTGCAGGCAGCAGGCGGCAGGCGGCAAGTGGTAATTGTTTTTATTGCCAATCCGCTGGAGCGGCACTTGAATGCCAGGCAAGACTTATGGCTGCCCGTTGTGGCAGGCGAAGGCAGAAAGTGTGTCAACGCTGCCGCGCATGCGCATAACTAACAGCAACAACAACAACAACAACAACAATAGCAACAACAACAAGCAGCTACTGGCACTTACCGTAACAATTGCTTAAAATTCACACTGTTTCACTTGAATATTAAAAATAAAATGCACAAAATTTGGCAATGGGCCAAAAAAAAGAGTTTTCACGTTTCACTTTACACAGATTTTGCAAGCTCAACACACACACACACACACGCATGCACATGCACGCACACACACACAGTGCAGACTCACACAAATAGAGCAATTGTGTGTACAAAGGCTGCGGCTTTTGGCTTTTGGGCAGGACGCGGCGGGGCGTGGCGTGGCGTAGCGTGGCAAGGCGGCGACAATGAAGATATGTATGTGGATATGCTGTATGTGTGCAGATGCGAGCGCGACAAACGACGTCCAATTGGCAGCGCGGCTAAAATGTCTCTGAGTTGGACGTCTCACGAGCGCGAGCTTATGAAATTAATTAACTGGCCAAGTCAGGCTTGACAAACTGAGTAAAAGCAGCAAACGGCAGCAGCACAAATGCAAAAAGAGATACATACATGTACATACAACAACAACAACAACAACAACAACACATCAATAATGACATTCGAAGCTTTTGCTTTGGCTGAAGCGCTCTTTGCGCTCGGCGCTGCCAACTCGTTCAAGGCAAAGCTTTGCTTCAAAATGCAAGCTTTCAAAGTTCGGCCAAGCGCTTTTTGTTTGTGTGCTTGATTTGCCTTTGCTTTAGCTGCGCTTGGCAGCTTTTTGAATTTGGAACGCGGGCAATAGGTGAGACTGAATGCGCTTAAAAAACTGATATCACTATAAATATTATTTTAATGTTAATAAATATGATATAAATAGAAAAGACTTACACTATTTACTATGGCATATATATTATATTTTATAAATTTGATTATATTATGTTGATGTATTTACAAACAATTAACACATTTGTTTGGTTAGAGTATTTCACAGTCGCTGTGCCCGTAACGAGCTTTTTCTTTGTTTTCTTTCGTTTTGTTTGACTTTTTTTGCTTTTGCTTTTGACTTTTGTTTCGGCTTTTGCATTGGTTTCTGCAATAAACTAGCAATTATATGTTTCATTAGCAATGCGATAGGAATCTATCGGCCGTGTTTAATCTATCAATAAAGCGCAGCTGCTGGGGGGCTTTTCTACTGTGGACTTTGGCGAGCTGGAACAGGTTTGCCGCCCACTGATAAGGGGCGTTAACGGTTTTGGTATGCTTAGGCAATGTTGCTGATTATGAAATTCTTACCTTTCTTTCACTTCATTAACTTGCCCCAAGGGCATTTGGCTGAAGTTCAACGCTTTTGTTCTTGACTCAAGCAATTCTGCACAATTTCGCATTTGTGCAGCTATGCAAGAGGCTAGATACATATTGTGTTGCTTATTTTTAAACGTCTTTATCAGCCAATGTCGCCCTGTCACTTATCTAAATTATTGCTACCATAAAAAACAAACGAATGCCTCGCAGAAATTGGCAGAAACGTGTACCATAAAGATAGCCTAATAGCCTGTTGATTGATAACTAACCATATTATGTAAGCGATTGTCCAAGAAGTGTATATACATAATTATAATATAAGTCCAAGAAGTACTCGCATTACGTATACGTAATTTTAATTTATCATTTTTAACATATCTCTGCGACAATAGTTTGCCAAAATAAACTGCAGCTACTTATCATTGAACTATATATGCATACAATTTATTTATGATGTAAGTCATATGACCCGCAAGTATAGCCGTGACTGGCCGTATCATAGTTTAATTACACTTATGTATTCATGGGTAACAAAAAGTCACGTATAACTGCAGTTCATCTGTTTAACCTTTTTAAGGTCAACTAGTCATGTGCTTACGACAGCAGAAGGCAATGCTGCCAATATATTTATAGTCCATAGAGAGCGAGAGAGAGAGAGAGACAGAGATAGAGAGAGAGGTTGTGAAGTTGTTTTTTGATATAATTTATATATTTTTAATCATTTTATATAGATTACATGATCGTGTGTGGCTAGAAAAGACCGGAAGCAGAACCGGAAGTAGAACCCAATCCAAACTATGTGAGGTTGATTAGGCGACAAGGATTTTGATTTTGGTGAAAAAGATGGATTGAAATAAGAGTTAGAGTTAGAGAGAGAGCGAGACTGTGCGAGAGAGACAGAGACAGAGGTAATTTCCCACCATCATAACTCGGTCAAATCTCATCCGATTTTCACGAGGTTTGGCTCTTCGTTCTTGGTTTGACCTCTAAATCAATCTGGCATGTAAATCTGGCAACATTATAATTGGTTAAAATTCATGTAACAATGCTAGCTCAATTTTCCTATATAGACATGGGTCAACATTTCCCAACCCCATAAACCGGTCGAAACTAAAGCGATTTGGGTCGTTGTTTAGGGTTCGATCAATTTGCATTCAGGGAGCACTTTCGCTCAATCATTCGATCAGTAAGGAAAAAGAGTTTAACCATTGTATATAGATGAAAAAACGGTATATAATCTGTTGCTTTCTGGTTTTCAAAAGCCCTCAGTCCTGATGCGTTTTTGAACCCAGCCTGCACGAGTATTACTCATGGGTTTTCCCCAAAGAAACAAAAACTGCACATCCGTTAAGTTTATTTGACTTGGTTTAAGGTGTGCCGCATAATCCCCATTAAATATAAGTCAAGGTGCCAAGCTATACCCAGCTTGGGCCATAGAGCATTCAACCTATTGTTCAAAGATTCTTTATGGCGTCATCGAGCGGTGCCGTTCAAAGTTTTCTACGATCCACTTGATTTACACAATGTTAAGTCATTGATCAAACACTTGTGCATGTAATTTGCAAGGCACACTCATTTACTCTATATACTGGCCAACAACACCCTGTAATATTTCCTCATTATCTTTTAATGGTGCCCAAGTCGCGGTGTCAATCCAAAGTACATCACACGATTTCCGAGTGGCTCTCGTTAATAGCCCAAGAGTTGAGAGTTGAGCAGCTGAAGAATTTAATTACTCGCGAGTGTTTTCTTTATGAATGGAAGAAATCGCTGGCCTGTGCAAAGTACAATCGAGTGTTTCCATAAGTCGGAGCACTATGTGGCACACGTAATACGGAAGGAACCGAGCAGCATTTGTACTTGGCATAGTTAGCTGGGATATCTAAACTGGAACACATGCTTAGGTTCTTTTCAACTAATTCTTATTCTAATAATACGCACTAAAATATATTCACTGCCTTCTTCTCTAAATACTTTGACTATCTAGCTTCATATGTCATCAGCTATATCAAGGATAGATATATGTGCGTATTAACTGTTTTTTAAGAAGTTGTGTAACAATTAAATTGTTATTTAGAAAAGCATAAATGTTTATTATACAAATATATACTTGCACATAAATATACTACATATTATTAGGACAAAAAAAGGAGAATATAAATAAAGTGATTGAAGTTTCAAAATAAAAATAACAAACATTTTAAGTTTTTGTCTAATAAAAGTGATTAATTTCAAAAAATATTGACTTGTTTCTAGCAAATGTTTTAAGCAATATTTATTTCTTAAGTATATTAAAATTATATTATATATAAAAGATACTAAGTAAAAAATTAAAATTTTCAAATCTTTTGAGAAAATATTTATAGAAACAAAAATACATGCTTAAAACATTTTAGACTCTTCATTTTGTTTTTTTTTTTTTTTTTTAATATTTTGGCTAAATTATGACATTAATATTTTTTGGGTATGAACCGTGGGATAAAAATATATTTAAAAAAAAAAAGGGTTTATTCAATTAAAAAATATTTGACTATTTGGCCGCTCTACCCATTGGATCTAGGGATTTACAGTCTGAATCAGAGATAAGGGCAACCAATCGTAATCGCGGCCAGCTCTCGAATAAAATGAATGCAAAAAGTATTCGAATGTGTGCAACAGGCCATACAAATTGAGCTGTGAGTATGTGTGTTATCTTTTAACATATTTAAATACTCAGTAACAACAGCAAAACAGAAGTTCGATAAAGCGTCAGCAACAACAAATTTAGCACACTCGGCAACTAAACTCAAAACATACAATACTTGCACACATTTTTTAAACAAAGGAACGCAACAACAACAATAAGTAGAAGAAGAAGAAGAAGAACAGAGTTTACAGAGACGTCGAACCCGATGACAACAAATCGAATCAAGTGCAAAGACTTTGCCCTATGACTACACTATACGAATACGCGCACCCAGTTATATTCATGCCATATATATACTCTATATATATACAAGCTCATACGTGTATATGGGCTAAAGTAACTCTTGGCTAACGGAATCTTTGTTTCTCTCTGAACACAAAACGCACGTCTCGCAGCGCCTGGCAAATTCAATAATAATAATAATAAAATACATGTAGCAAAACAAAAACAAATTCAGGAAGTTTTCAAAGATAACGTTCTCACAGTGCTCGGGTTTATCAAAAGCACGAAACAACTGTTTTTATAGCACCTGATAAATCCAATTTGTATAGAACGTCAGGCTGCTTAAACTTATGAAATCGAACGGTAATTGTTCAAAGTTTATCTTACATGAGCGTAGTAGCTAACAGCTGCCAAACTCAATGCAGCTTGACCCAAATGATACCCTGTAAATTTATGAAAATCTGAATGAAGCCCATGTTGTTTATGATCATAAGAGAACGCTTAAAGAGCTAAGGCACAAAACAAAAGTTGTTGATATCACAGATGTTAATGCTTAGCTCAAAAATACCCTGTATTTTGTCAGAATATGTCGATTAGTATATAATTTTAAATAACATTATGAAAACTGTGTTAGTTGTACAAACATAGATGTGCTTAAAATACGAAATACCCTGTATATAGAATATGCAGATTATTATCAACATATTCAAGAATCCTACTTAAAAAAATGAGAAAATATTTTTTTTAGAATAAGGACGTTGACTGAAAAAAAAGATAAAATTAAGCAAAAATATTTTGACTTTCCAAAGTACGAAATACCCTGTAAATAAAATATGAAGATTCATTTCTTATTTACATAAAGCGACTATATTAAGAAAGGTGTTAATATAGGAAATACCCCGTATATTGTTAAGCTTTATAGATTGTTATATAATTTTTGAGGATCATTTTTTGAAATTAAGATAAAATAACAGAAATTGTGTTTGCTGCAGAAACAAAAGTGTCCTCAAAATAAGAAATACCCTGTAAAGTTAAGATGTGTAGATTGTGATATAATTTTCGAAAATAGCCTATTAAAAAAGGCATATTCCGTAACTAGGACTAAAACAAACAAAAATGCTCTCAAAATAAGATTAAATACATTTTTCAAAAACATGTATCAATGGAATGCTTATGACAAGTTTGGGAAGTAGAAAACAGAACTTTATCGTATTGTTTTGACTCCAAAACAGTTGTGC